AGCAGAAGGGGGAGAGTCTTATGCTTATGACACAAGTGTGGGTTAAACTTAGAAACAGTCTCTTGATACAAAAATATGACCCCAAATGTAAAAGTCAGCCTACATTAGGTTCATATTATGCTGGTTTGCCTGCACTTTGAGGGGAGATTTTCAGGCACACTACCAAGGACTAGGCTGTCATGCCCTTCACCAGTTCGGCAAGAGCCCATCTAAAGAGCCTTAAGGTTCAAAGGGTCCATGCACGTATCTTGGTTAATCCAGGCAAATGACCCCACTTTAGTGACTTCCCTAGCCAGGTTCTGTACCACTTGGGACTGAAGTGTATGTATGTCTTTGGGACCCAGCCCAAGGGGTTCCAATCTAATCAGTGCAGTAAATAATGGGCCAGCAGTTCAATTCCTGGGGCTCTGCTCTCTCCACAGGGCTATCCAGAAACAGGACCATGCATTGCCCCCTGATATCTGGCACCAGGAGACTGGAGACTGGGGTTCTCAAGACCACTGAGCATGAGCAGTCAAATTTTCTGGCTTCTAGCCTTGCCACCTACAGCCCCTCAAGAGAGTGGATGGGAGGAGTCAGGGAGGCCTTGGGATTTCTCCTAGCTCTTCAGTTGGGATAGACAAGGGGTCTGGGAGCTCATGAGGTAAGACCTTCAGCCTGGAGGGCTTGGGAGTGTGTTAGAGACTCAGACCTCCCTCAGCTCCTCATCCCTGGCCTCTTCTCTCCTTTCTTTCCTTCTTTCTCTCCACTCTCCCCCTCCCCCTCCCCTGCTCACAAAAGCTCTCTGTACACAGCCACTTCCTCTGGCCGCTGTCTCGGAGCCCAGACCTTATGAGAACCATATGGGGGAAAAGAGGGTAGAAGAGAAGGGGGTGGGGAGGCAGGCTGGGCCCGCCCCTCTAGCCAGCATCTTTCCACTGCCCTCAGGCTGTGCGCTTGGTGGTTGGCACGCTTTACCCACACACTCCTAACTAGATCCTGGTGGTTGCATGGCCTGAATCCCAGGCTAGAGCTGAGAGTCCCAAGGGGGATATTTGCACAGGAATCACCTCCCTGAGGCAAGATCATTGCACAGGGTCCATATAGACCCTACCACTCCCCTGCCCAGGACCATCAAACTCGAAGCATGAGCACCCAGCTGGTATTGGGCACATCTGTGCAGACTACATCTGTACAGGAACATCTGTTTAAGGGTGAGCAGGTTGCCTGTTCTGAGGGAATGAGCAGTGAGCTATCCCATGTCTGCCCCTCTGCACTCAGCCTGAAATGTTTCCAGGGTAAAAGGACTTTGGTCCTGTTGGAGAAAAAAAAAATGGATTTTAAAAGCAGTGTCTGTGTCCACTGGATCCCAAATAGCAAAACCCTCATCTGGTAGAAGCAGATAGACCCTAACTAGCGAATCCCACAGGGATCCCACCTAGCAATTCCTCTAATCTTCCAGCCTCGGCTACAAAGCCTTAAATTGTGGGCCTGGGCTGCTGCTCTCTAAGACCCTTTTCAGTACAGATGAAGTAGGAATTTATGGCATTGGCTTGTGTCCTCTGAGGTCCTCCTGGGGAGATTTCCTTCTGCAGTTATCTGTTATCAGTCCTTCCTGGAATCCCTTATTCTCAACCTCCCTGCAACTCTCCCAGCTAAAGACCAGAAAGCAGGCCTTTAGCCACTGCCCAGGTTGGGGAGGTTCCCACTCACAGCAAAACCCTCCCCCCTGTAATCTACCCGAGGACCTTACCCTAAGAGAGAAGGCTCATAAAGGCTCCTGCTCAGGGCATTTGTACCCACAGCTGCCCTGCAGACTGGGCTGTGAGGCTGGGGGTGGGGTGAGAAATGGATCAGGAAGGAAGCCAAGAGCTCTGCTTTCCTGGAAAACTGCAAATGAAAGTCCATCATGGAGGAAACAAAGGGTGGGGGAAAGGGGACCTGAAGTCTACAAAAACAGAAGGCAGAAGTTAAGATAACAGAGCAGAGGAAGGATTGTTCAATGAGGTAAACAGGACTGTTCAAGGGAGAGTACCCCCCTCCCCCAGGAGACAGGGACCTTAACTGGCACTTTGAGTCCTAGCCCTAAATGTCTGCCAGGCTTCTATCTTGAGGGTTCCTGTGACTGGAAGCTGGGGACCCATTCTGAAGGAAAAAAGAAGGTCCTCAGTGGGAATGGAGCAAATGTCTGGGAGGAAGGACACAGCCACAATGCAAGAACAGCTGGTTCAAGTCCTGTTGCACAACCCAGTGAAACCTTAAAAAAAAAAGAAAAAAAAGGAAGGAAGGAAAGAAGGAAAGAAGGAAGGAAGGAAGGAAGGAAGGAAGGGAGGGAGGGAGGGAGGGAGGGGAAAGAAAGAAAGAAAGAAAGAAAGAAAGAAAGAAAGAAAGAAAGAAAGAAAGAAAG